TGGAACTCACTTGGTAGCCCAGGCTGGCCTCGAACTCACAGAGATCCGCCTGCCTCTGCCTCCCGAGTGCTGGGATTAAAGATGTGCGCCACCACCGCCTGGCCACAAAGTGTATCTTTATGTAATTCAGCCCTAGAGGGGTAGTAGTAGAGCTGACCTAAGTATGAGTTTTCCAGCCCTTAACTCATGTGAGGTCTCCACATGGTTTTTGTCGCAGCTTTAGTCCTGTTGGCTATTGTTTATTGTTCAAGTACTTTCATGTGGGGGGAAGACAGTTATAAAAAACTATAGAATCACTGTATGGATGGCAGGAAAAGCTTGTCTTACATTTACATACATATAAAGAATGTTGAGATGGAGAGATGGCTCAGAAGTTAAGAGCACTGGCTGCTCTTCCAGAGGTCCTGAGTTCAATTCCCAGCCACCACATGGTGACTCACAACCGTCTATATATGAGATCTGGTGCCCTCTTATGGCATGCAGGCATACATGCAGGCAGAATACTGTATACATAATTTAAAAAATCAGGCCTCTTACTGTCTTGGTTTGGCTAACATTCTTTTTTTTTTTTTTTTCCTTTTATTTTATTTTACAATACCATTCAGTTCTACATACCAGCCACAGGTTCCCCTGTTCTCCCCCCTCCCACCCCCTCCCTTTACCCACAACACACTCCCCATTCCCACCTCCTCCAGGGCAAATTCCCCGAGGACTGCGATCAACCTGGTAGACTCAGTCCAGGCAGGTCCAGTCCCCTCCTCCCAGACTGAGCCAAGCGTCCCTGCATAAGCTCCAGGTTTCAAACAGCCAGTTCATGCAATGAGCACAGGACTCGGTCCCACTGCCTAGTTGCCTCCCAAACAGATCAAGCCAATCAACTGTCTCACCTATTCAGAGGGCCTGATCCAGCTGGGGGCCCCTCAGCCTTTGGTTCATTGGCTAACATTCTTATCTGTGGACCAATAACTTGAATCAAGATGAATGGCACTGTAGCTGTCAGAAGTAGGTTGGATGTTTGCTTCTATGGCTAGGGGTTGTAATTAGCTGCCCTTCGTAAATGTAGGTGGGCCAGGAGAGGCACAGTATCTACCAAAGTAAGGGTGGGAATTCCTCCTAGGAACAGGAAGAATAATGGCTAGACACATAAAAGGTTGAATCTCTGTTTTTAGAATTAATGTAGTTTTCTGTGTCTTTACTCAGCGATGGACAGCCTAAGCACAGAGCTATGTCCTACCCATCCGGGTGCTTCTTGTTTGTATCCCAGCAGTACCGGGCACAAAGGATGTGATAGATACAAAATTTGTTATGGGAAGATGCTGTTGAGGTGGAGTAGACAGGAAAGTATTTGGAGGCAGAAATGTGCCCGTGGTGATCTCTTTGTATAGTTACTGCCAAAGTGAAAGAAGTGTTGAGTAGACCACAGTGTATGTCTCTAGCTGAACTATTGCTATAGGTAGGTGACTATGTCAACCAACCTTGGCTTGCTGTCAACTCATAATCATTGTTTGTTTATTGTTTTTATGGTTATGGGTGTTTTGCCTGCATATATGTCTGTGGACCACATGTCTACCTAATGCTCACAGAGGCCAGAAGATGGTATTTACATCACATACAGTTATGAGCTACCATGTAGGTGCTGGGAATTGAACCTGGGTCCCCTGCAAGAGCAGCAGGTACTCTTAACCTCTGAGCCTAGTTCTTCAGCCCAGGATCATGCTTTTAGATTTCTAAATCAGGTTCGATAAAGAGGTACATCAAGAAAACAAGGGAATACTGTAGATGTAACTAACCGTCTTATTAAATAAGAAACACAGAAACAATGTAAAAGAGAAAGCCGAGAGGTCAGAGCTCAGAGCTAAAACCTCACCCTTCCGCCTGCGGTGTCCCAGCTTCCCGAAAGAGGGCTACTTCCTGTCTGTATGCCTTTTTTTATAGTATATTGTTCTGCCTTCTCATTGGTTGTAAACCCAAACACATGACTGCCTCGTCACTGTCTGAATGTACGGTCCCCTAGGTCTTAAAGGCATATGTCTCCAATGCTGGCTGTATCCCTGAACACACAGAGATCTATGGGATTAAAGGCGTGTGCCACCACCGCCACACTCTTGCTATGGCTCTAATAGCTCTGATCCCCGGGCAACTTTATTTATTAACATACAATCAAAATCACATTTCAGTACAATTAGATTACCACCACAGAATACCAGAGAGGAATGCCAGGAGGAAAGGGAAAGGGACTCTTGTAGAAACGTAGCCACTAAGAAATTAGGAACAAGCACAGAGAAGGCATTGATAGTGAGCTAGACTCAGCCATAATTTCACAGTGTTGGTACACATTTCAGAACATCATGTTATACGCCATAAATAACACACATTTTGTTAGCTGAAATAAAAATATTAAGTATGATTTTAGGTTGAGCAAGAAAATTTGGATGCCCCTTAAAGCTCAGTGCAGAACAGTAAATACATTAAAACAAAACTCAAAGAAGTTAAAAACAGACTGATGGTGTTTTTATATACTGTGTGTAAATATATTTATTAAATTGGTCAAATTTTGCACGGAGGGTAAGTATATATGAGATACAACTCTGCATACTGGTATGTTTAAACGAATGTTAGAAAGCAAGTACCACAGGGGTAGAATAAGGCATTACAAAAGAATTGGGGACTGAGGAGATGGCTCACTGGGTAAGAGTGCTTGATATGTAAACATGAAGACCTGAGCTTGAATCCCCAGTACCCACGTAAAAACCAGCCATGGTTAGAGATGCCTGTATCCCTGGCATTGTGGGGGGATGGGGGAAGAGACAAGTGGACCCTGCAACCTCAATAGCCAGCCAATCTAGTCAAGATGGCAAGCTTTGGGTTCAGTGAAAGACTTTGTCTCAAAAAATGAGGAGAACAGCAGAAGATAATTGCCATCCTTCCTTGGCCACAACATATGCACCTGCACACTTATGTACACACCCCCAACAAGCATTGGTGTTTGTTAATTGTACCAAGTGCTCATAGTCATCTTATATTTTCTGTTTCTGTGTTGATTAAAAGTTGAAGATTTTCTTATGATCTTAAGATAAATTGACCAGTGGTCTTTTGCAAATTATGTGGACTCATGGTAGTTTTATAGTTACTAATATTTCATTTTTCAAATTTTCATTTACTACTGTTTGCCTGTGTGATGTGTGACATACACATAAAAGGGCACATGTGTGCCATAGTGTGTGCAATAATGTCAGAAGACAGCTTTCAGGAGTCAGTTTTCTTCTTCTACTATGAATTTTGGAAATTGAACTTGGTTAGTTAGGCTTACTCATGCTCAGCAAAGGTAAAGGCAACCTGATTGTGTATCCTAGTTAGCTTTGTTAACTTGGTAACAGCCTACAGTCATCTGATACATGAGCCTCAGATGAGGAATTAGTAGATTAGAAGAGCCTCAGTTGAGGAATTGCATAGTTTAGATTGGCCTATGGGTATGTGTGTTTTGGACTGACTTGATTATTAATTGATATAGGGGGGACCCAGCCCTCTGTGGGCAGTACCATTCCCTGGGCTATACAAGAAAGCAATCTAAGCATGGCTCTGAAAGGGGGAGCCAGCAAGCAGTGGTCTTCTGGTTTCTGCTTCAATGTCTGCCCTGACTTTCCTCAATTATAGACTTACCTGGGCACGTAAAGCCAAATAAACCTTTTTCTCCCTAAGTTGCTTTTGATCAGAGTGCTTTATCACAGAAACAGAAAAGAAACTAAGATGGAAGATGAGAACAGACTCCATAAAGTTGCCTCTGACCTCCATGTTTACTGTGGTACACCTGCCCCCCCCCTTTCACACAATAATTAATAAATAATTTTAAATAATTGAGTTTGTAAGCCAAGTGTGGTGGCAGCACACACACCTTTAATCTCAGCACTTGGGAGGTAAGGGCAGTCAGATCTCTGTGAGTTCAAGGCTAGCCTGGTCTACAAAGCGAGTTCCAGGACAGCTAGGGCTGTTATACAGAGAAAGCCTGTCTCAGAAAACCAAGTGGGGAGGGGATTGAATTTTGAAATTTTTGGTGTGTGTATGTGTGTGTGTGTTGGCAGGGGGTGTTTTGAGACAGGATCTCATTTTAACTGTCTGGCCTGGAACTTGCTATGTTAGACCAGTCTGCCCTCAATTTACAGAAGAGACCTGCTTGTCTTTGTTTCTCAAGTACTGGGATTAAAGGTATGGCTCACCACATCCAGCTGTGGTTTGGTTTTTCCAACTAAAATTCAGAATGTCTTACTGGCTTTCACATAAGCTCTGGAATGCTGGTCTCGCTTCCTTGTATTGGTGCTGATTTTCTGAACGGGACAGAGGAGACAGAGCTGAGCAGAATCAGCGGCTTCTGTTCCCTAGGCTGTCGCTCCAGAGCACCGGTGACTGAATAAGGTCACCATACTACCTTTATTCTGCAGCCATGTCTGCATTCTCAGATTATACAACCCCTTCTCCAGTGTTTTATCTAGAGGTTGGTTGATTTTCACTGAGGAGCAAAGCAAGGCTAGGTGAAGAAAAGTCGAGACTTCAGTCTTCCTTTAAAAAAAAAAAAGATTTTTCTCTCCTGCTTAAAAATTTCATACATTTTTCTTCTCAATTTTGAAGTGAGAGAAGAGATGACAAAGTGTTTATTACCAAGAGAAATAATCCTGGTGAAAAATTGTCTTTGCTATATTGTCTTGGGGGTTTGAGAGAAGACCAAAGAAAAAGGAGTATATCTTCAGTTTTATTGTTTGGAATTTACAATCACAAAGTAGTCCAGGGTCATTTCCCAACACTGTGGCATAATACATATATACACATATTTAGAAAAATTACAAAATGTTCTTTAAAAAATTATGCTGTAATAAGATTTCTTATTTACTGGCCAAGAATAAAAATATACCTCAAATGCACCTTTATTTTTTTACACAGTCTTTTTGACATTTCTAACTAGTCTATACATTCGTAGAGCTGAAGGCATTGTTTTACTGCAACAAACTTCATAAAAGGATTGGAATTTTTTTTTTTTTTTTTTTTTTTTTTTTTGTTTTTCGAGACAGGTTTTCTCTGTGTAGTTTTGGTGCCTGTCCTGGATCTTGCTCTGTAGACTGGGCTGGCCTCGAACTCGGCTTTGCCTCCCAAGTGCTGGGATTAAAGGCATGTGCCACCGCCACCTGGTCTAGGATTGGAAATTTTAAAATGTTGTGTCAAGAGTACTTAACATTTGTAAACACCAGGAAATGTGTCCTCTGTTCAGACGTCTAGCTGCTGTTTCGTGGCTAAGGTGAAGGCTCCCATTTCTTGATTACCCTTGGTCACAGGACCATCTTGGTCAGGTATTCTGTGGGCATAGATTATTTCATCAGTCTGCGTATCTCTTGGGCATCGCTTAGGGCTCACTGTCCTGTTGGTACTCTCATATCTGGACTGGAGTACGCCTTACAGTGGTTGCTTGGGATTTGAGTCTCAGTGACATCCAACATTTATGTACACCGCTTCTTGCAATCACTCTTGCCTTCCAGAACGCTTGATCTTTCCATGATGTACATAGTGTGACTAGATTGAGAGCTGTGTTGGCATCTGGGGCAGGACAGGTGCAGGTTTAGAATTGCAGTTCGTTTTAGAAAGCTCTCTCATGACACCTCCATGTGAGGAAGAAGGAAGGAGAGAGGGGGCAGGGCTTTTGGAATCCCACAAGAATTAACAAGAACCAATGTTACGCTTTGGAATCATGCTCTGCTCCTTTGCAAGTGTTTATATAACACATGTAAATGCCCATCCTCTCTCCTGCGATGTACCAGTCCTGGGCACACCCTCCCTTCCCTTTCTCCGCTGCCCCCTGACTAACTGCCAGTGTGTCGATGACTCATCAAAGGCACATGGTGTTGTAAGACAGGATCCTGTCCAGGATCCAGTCTTTCAAAATTGGTAGACAACAGAAGCCCGAAAGAAAGGGGTGTATGGTGGGCAGAAATAAACCAGAGATTTGTCATCTGGGGCCATCGGCAGGAAGAAAGGAGACTTGATGTAGGAGGGACTATTGGATTTGAGGTCAAAAGACCTAGACAGGTCTTAAATGTATCATTTGGGGATATATGGCCTTGAACATGTCAATCCTTTCTGCTAACGTATCACACAGAAGAACCAACACTTATCTACAAAAATTTCCTTGTAAATTATAACAGTTTTTGTTTGTGAGAGTCTTGATGTCTAGCTGACTAGCTCAAACTCTATATAGGTCAGGCTGACCTGGACCTTGGCAGCCATCCTCCTCTCCCTCCCAAGTGCTGTGACTACAGGCATGCGCCACCACAGCTGGCAATGATCAAGTTCTATGTAAACATTAGTTGTTTGATGGATTAGAAATGAATAGAAAGTGAAGAATTATTTTTGTGGTTCAAATCCGTTACGTGGATATGTAAATTACATCTAGTTGTTTTCTTCCCCCACTCCCGAAAAGAACCCTGTTGGTTCAGACTTTCTATCTGCTCACTGAGTTGCTGGCCCTGACAAACGATGTTCTAGTTAGTTTCTTCCTTGCGAAGTGCTCTGAGCGTCGGCTATGAGCCTTGAGGATGGTAAACACCATTACAAAGCCAGGTCTCCAGAGGCAGATTTGAATATCACTGGAAGAAAAATGTAGTTTGACATCAAGGACAAGGAGACTTCCTGTTCATTATTGGTACAAAACAAGGATCACTGCACAAAATGAAAGAATTACTAAAGGAAAGCTTCCCTGGTAATGACTTCCTGCAGAGAACTTGATCCGCCCTTCAACGGCTGGGTAAACTACTTGCATTTTTGAGATGTATTCAGAAACCACGCTGATATCTTGGTCACCTGGAAAAAAACACATACATTATTTTAACTCTTGAAAAATGATCTATTAGCAGTAGGAAGGGAAATAAGGTCTCTAAAGCCTTTGAAATTGAAAAGAGAAGACACCTTTTCATTCCAGGATAAAGCACCTCAGAAGACTTTTTGTCTTCTGGTAATTTTAAGTGCAATGAATCTGATTGCTATCTCATGTTCCAGATGTGAACTTCAGCACAGTGTCATTGGGAGGGGTGCAGTTGTCTCAGCTCTAAGGTTTCTAAGAGGTTGTTGGCACCACAGCTGTCATCTATTCCAGAACCAAAGGCACTGGGGACCTGGGCCACGAGTTAGTTGAGAAACAAAAGTGACTTTCTCATGCTGTCTGCTCAAAATTATCCTCACACACTGGATGATGGGACATTGGAGCTTTCATTCCCAGAAGAGGATGAAGAAATAGCAAACCCATGACAACCCCCAAAAGTCTTACAATTATTTAAATTACTCTATGTGGATGTGTTCATTGAAGGTACTTAATACCTGGCACTTTTAATACACAATAGTTTACTGTAAAGGAAAAAAAAAAATCACAGGCCATTGTGATGGCACATGCCTTTAATCCCATCCTGTGGGCAGGAGGATCTCTGTGAGTTCCAAGCCAGCCTGGTCTGCATAGCAAGCTCCAGGCCCGCCATGACTACACAGAGAGACCCTGCCTCTAACAAACAGCGTGCCTCCCCTGGGGCTGGAGAGATGTGAACACGCGTGCCAGGTAAGGAACAGCACAACACTCCTCAGTATTGTGCTGTTGTTAGCAACCTCCACAGCAGGAGGCATGGGGTCCCTTTCCTGTCTTGTCCCCCTCTGCCCAGTTCTCTTGTGCTGAACACCTTTGGGAACAGGAGGGGAAGAGACACTGGTGCTTACCAGAGTCATGTTTTAATAATTCATCTTTTATCATCTGGAATCCATCTCCACCACTGGCGAGGTAGCTCGGGAGCGTCACTTTATACACTTTATCCATTTCCAGAGGCTCATAAGTGGGCACTCGACACTTGGTACAAAGAACATCTAATTGCACCACTCTGTTCCAGGGTTTTCGGGTAAGATCATATACCACATGGATTCCTAGAAGAGAAATGTGTCCATGTTTTTGCTGAATCCAAAGGGACTTTTGCCTATGAAAGGGATTTTGGCCAAATCTAGAATTGGGATACTAGGCTTGTGTTACTTTAATTCCTGTGTGAGTGAAATTAAACCAGGGGAATGTTGGCAATGGTGTAGCTACCCTTAGTTACCTTCATCCTTGAGGCCTCCAGTAGATGGGAGAAACACTGAAGGAGAACAGACCCTCAGAAAAGAAAGGGTGATTATAATCCCGAACTCATTGGTCCAGTAATGACTGACTTGGAAAATGAGGTGTGCATTGTTGCGAAATGCAATGGAGTATTTGCAACAGTCTTTGAAGACTGAATGTAGTCATTCTAATCTGGAGATTTTCACCAATACTCTACTCAGCACTTTGCTAGAACATCACAGGTCCTTGGCTCTGCCCTGGGAAAATGCTGTGTGTCAGGGTTACTCCCCACACAGCAGGCCAGGGTCACCTCCCAGACAGCAACACCCATCAAGCAGTTCCATGAACTAAAATGAAAATGAAGCTTGGAGCTCCCAGCCTGTGGAGGGCCTGGAGCAGCAGGATCTCCACACATTTGAAGTCAGGCTGAGCTACATAGTGTGGGTCTATCCCAGAGTACACATATTGAGACTCTGTCAAAAAAGGGGGGGGGGCAAACAACATACAGCCAAGCACAGTGGGACATAACTGTAATCCCAGTATTTGGGAGAACACAGAGGCAGGAGAATGGGCAGTTAAAGGCCAACTTTGACTACATAGTGAGTTTGAGGTCATTCTGGACTACATTAGATCCTGTCTCAAAATGAACAAAGCAAGATTAATAAAAAGTGAGAAAATGAGGCCACAAAATTATTTTGGAGTAAAATAAGATTACTATTTTAAGGATTAAAACTCTGGATTATGGAATTGATCCCTAAGAAAAGCATTTCAGAATCTTTAAGGAGCTGGGATGTAGCAGTGCTAAAAAGCATTTTCCCCAGCATGCATGAGGCCCCAAGTTCAATTCCCAACAGCACAAAATAAACAGGAAAATGTTTGCCTAGCATGGGTTTACTCTCCAGCACTCCCCACCCACCCTCAATGAAGAAGCCTTTAGCAATACCAGGAACATTCATTTCCATTCTTCACTGCAGTCAGAGAGAAAGCAGGCCAGGGGTTGGTGACATGCCTTCCCCCAGCAGGATTAGAGGAGACTGTCTCTGCTTCTACCTTTTGTTCCTTTGAACCCTATTATAGTCCCAGGCAGCTAACAATAACGGAGAGAGCTTTTGCTTCTGTTTAAAAATGTTTCCTGCACCCACAAGATTCCAACAGAAAGGCCTCATGCCAGCTGATCTGCTAGTGTTCAGGAGGTCAGCTCCCATGGATGCCCTTGTGATCTCCAAATTAGGGTTGGCAAATACTACTCATTGCCAGGGGTTTGGGTCTGACCTCAACCTATCCTCAATGACTCCAGGAGTCCATAGTCATTGAAAGATGGGGTTGCCTGTGAGAAAACCCCAAGTCTAGCCACAGAGTTAAGGAGCTGAGCCAACCAGGAAGGCCTAGATCACTGGACAATGTGCTCTGCAGGATGTGCCACTTACCACCCACTTGCAGGAACTCCCCAGTGGACTGGCCATAGCGATGCACGCTGTGCTCAAAAGCCTTCTTCAGGGTGGAACCTTTTATTTGGACCAGGTCAAACGTCCCTCCAAAGGGCAGTACAGCAGCCAGATTCTCCCATGTGATTGTGCCTTAGGTAGTTAAAAATGCATCAGGAGAGAAAAAAAGTTGAAGGAAATGCTTACCCAGAGACTGGCTCCCTTGGGCTGAGGGAGTAAAGTGGGGGAGGGAAGTACACTTTTGGAGGGAGTGTACTGAAAGATTCTGCCCTGCTGTCTACCACAGGGCAAGGGGGTTGAGCCTGCAAAGGACCAAGTTCACTCTTCTCAGCCCTGGATCTCCTGGTTTGGGCTGGATCTTCAGTAGTTGGTTAAACATTGCTCAGTTGTACACAGGCAGTGTGTTCTAGCCACCTGCTCTATTATCTGAAATGAGCTTGGGGCTTTATACTGATGGGGTTCAACAGTATGTCAGCAAGGGCTCCAGCAGAGCCTTAAGTACCTGCCTAGTGGATTTGTTTTAATGTGTGATAGGACCTTGGGCATCTGCAAATATATAAAGTGTGTCTTTGAGATGTCCTTTCCAGCATAGGAGGTTAATGAGTTGGTCTTTTTCTCTCTAGATGTAAAAATGTTCAATATATTTTATAAAGCAGCAACAATTAATAGCTTTGCAAGTGGGAGATTTAGATCAAGCTGAGATTTTGCATCTGTGTGAATACATATGAGAAGGAATGTGTGTCCTTTTGCCGAAGCACTGGACTTGAGTCACAGCTAACACAAGCTTAAAGGCCCAGCATTTTGGTGTGTGGCTGGCAGCAGAGGGTGCTGTGGGCACAGTCAGGGAAGAGACAACATGGGCAGCTGAGGAAGTGGGCCCAGGTGCATACCGTTGTTCTTCTCATCAATGGGGGACCGGATGCCACCTCCATTTAAAATGCACATGGACACATGGTTCCAGAACATTTCATCTGGGTGTCGGAGGTTGTTGTTAATCTACAATAGTAGCAGAAATTTAGTTACTTTGGGTCTTCTTTCTTGGTATCAGTTCCAGGAATCTGGTTATCTCTACTGAGCAAAACAAAGTAATCATCCCCTACTCCCAAGTGCCCAGAGCTTTCCCAACTGTAACTAAAACTCATTGTGTACATTATTAATCATAAAATGATTATTAGGCTATCTTCTATTAGCCTTCAGTAAGTCAGAAGCACAAGCATATTTTACAAAGCACACACTCAGTTACAGCAAGTAAAAATGCGTGCTTTTGTTTATTTGTTTTGAGCCAGGGTCTCTCTATGTAGCTCTTGCTGTTCTATATAAACCAGGCTGGCCTCAAACTTGGAGAAATCCTCCTGCTTCTGTCTCCTGAATGTTGGATTAAAGGCCTTAAACCTTTTGTTTTTTTTAGGTTTGTTTATTTTATATTTTAAGTGCATGAGTGTTTTGCCTGCATGTATGTATGTGAACCATGTGTGTGCCTGTGGAGGTCAGAAAAGGGCGTCAGATCCCCTGGGACTGGGGTTACAGATGGTTGTGAGCCACTGTGTGGGTGCTGGGAATTGAACCCAGGTCCACGTACTCTCAAGCTCTGGGCCAGCTCTCCTGCTTCAAAATGTTTGCTTTCTAAAACAAGCACAAGAGTAAAAGTTATGTTTACCCCAGCCTCTTTGACAGAAAGGGTAAGTGCTGGTAGCACCCTGGGGTGTTTCTAGATTTTTGTCTAGATGTTTCTGTCTGGTTGTTTCTCATACTGATGTCACGGTGCTCAGTAGCCACCCTGGATGGACCTCATCTTGGAGGGCGCTCATGCTGTCACTCACTCAGCCAGAGTTTGTGGAGTGTGGTTGTATCACAGACACTGACAGCAGCAGGATGCTCACACAGACAGGCTCCCCATGGGTGAGCCTGTGAGAGCAATAATCCAGCCTAGAGACCTTTGCTCAATGTAGCCCCATGAAGCCACTTTGGCCAATTAGCCCCACAAAAATGCTCTTCATGAATGATCTTGCTCTAGCCAGAGACTTTACCATAACTATGTCTTGTCATTCTGGGCTTGGGAAAGAAGTGCAAGTTACATGAGGCCCATGTTCTTTAGAGCCGAGAGGACAAATCAGGGAAAAATTGTCCTGCCAAGTCAGGCCCAAGCAGATGTGCTTGATCTTCTGTGTCAACATCTGGCAGCGGCAGGGGGGTGGGGTGGGTTCCTATCTTCAGATCATCTTACAGAAAGAAACACCCCAGACTTAGACATCTAAGAAAGACATATTTTAAAAGGTTGTAGTCCTTGTAAAGCAATAAAGTGATGGTCTTCTAGTCTCTCCTTGCCTCCTCGCTAAGGTGTTGAGTGTGAAATCAGTCACACTTCTAGCTTCTGTCTGGGTACCAAATGGATCAAAACCCCCAATTTTACTGCCATCACTTTGTCCCTCGTTGCATCTATCTTCTATCTTCCTTTCGTCCCTCCCTAGATGCAGGTGCTCTGCCCCTGCAGATGGCTCACCATAGCATCACAGATCAGGTTGCCCATGTTGCATTCTCTGAAGCGGCATGACTGAGTGGAGCCGTCCAGGTAGACGATTGTTCTCCCCAGTTCCTGGGTAGAATAATTATCCAGCTTTATCCTCCATTGGTTAATGTCTGCTTTGATGGTTGGATCTAGGACAGGAAGGAAGGACATCAGAAAGGTGCACATGAGAGGAAAGGCCTGTCATTAAAGCAGATCTCCTAGTGGGTAAATGCTAGAGAAATCAAGTGTTGTCAGGCTTCCCTCCTGAGAGTATGCATTAGTACATTTGTGCGTTTTGGTTTTGGCTATGAAATTCCTTAGGACTATTTATTTCTTTTTCTGACATTAATACCTGGGTGTTTCTTACCTCAAGGATGCTTTTGAGCATCTTAGCATCAACTCAACATGTAGATGAGCACATGTCAGCCCACTTAGGATGACACCATGGTGGTGTCATGAGCATTGAAAGGCTGGGCAAGTACAGAGGATCTTCTGAGGGTATGGTTCCCAGCTTATTTCCTCTCTAGCTGTTGAAGAACCTATGTTGTGACCACAGACTCTCCTGGGTACAGTGAGACCTCCCCGCCCATCCTTCTGAGCAGACAGTGAATAGAAAAGGGCTGGTAGAATCACAGCAGCATGCTCACGAATACTATGTGAAAATGGATAATGGCATAACGATACTTTCATTCTGAGTCTCAAAACAAGAGGTTCTTCTTGACAGATATGCTGTGTACACTATAACTCTAGCCTGGGCTATATATGGAGAAGCTCTTCTTAGAACAAAAACAAAACAACAACAACAACACAAAGAGGTATTTCCTTGTCTCATGAATGAAGAGGCTATGGCCCACAGGACACTGTCCCTGCCTCTTGTTAGATGGGCCAGGTTTTGAGCAATACTCTATCCTATTTGAATTGCTTTCCTTCAGCCTTCTGCTCCTCTCTAGACAGGAGCCCACAGTGGCTTTTGCCTCCCCAGATTAAGCTTTTGAAAAGCAGAAGGAGCAGTCAGTGGTGCACTGAGCAGACTTGGAAAAGCAAATGAGGATTTGGGCACTGGCAATTTGAAATTTCCTTACGAATGAAGGGAGTAAACACAAGGGAGAGACTGAATTCTCCACCAGTTTTACAGTCATGTCCTGGGACAAAACAAAAGGAAGAAGGGGACGGAGGACCTAGCCAAATAACTTGTCAGTTGTTAGACTCTCCCCAGATCTCACCTTCGGGGATGCTGCTGTTCAGAAGAATGGGGTTTCCGTGTGAAGTGATGACATTCCCTTTGTCATCAAACTCAACCTTTAGATAGCCCAGGTATTTGCCGAAAGCATAGGCCTGGACCACAGGAACCTTCCGGCCATCATCGGAGGTGACTATGAATGGGTACTTGCCGGCAGGCACTTCTTTGGAAGGCGGGTTTCCTGAAATAAAAGAGGCAAAGTTGATCAAGTCAGCCTTGGCACATGGCAGGCCGCTGGCTGGATGACAGCGAGTTTTAGCTTGATGACTGGCCATCTGCTACTCTACATGGCTGGTCTTTCAGAGGCCCCGTGGGACGTTCGTCACTGGTTCCAAATGCCCTTTGGCATACAAATCCTGCCATTCTCCACTCAGTGGGCATTTACTAAGCTGTTTCAAAGTCTAGGGCATTGTGCCTGGTGATCTGATGTGGGTCATACAAAAACACAATACTGCCAAGATTATCCCTCTTCCATGCAGACTCTGTCTGTTCCCCCTGGCTGGATCAAGCCATTTGGATGGACTTCAGTTTTCCTGCAAAAGCCTCCTGCTGCTGCTTCCCAAGGGCTAGGGTTACAGGTGTGCACTACACTGCCTGTCATAGGGCGAATGTGGCTGTTCCTAAACACACCTGAGAATTCAGCAGCAAAACAGCTCTGTTGTTCCACCTCTGTTCTCATTGACAACTGTAAGCTCTAGAGAATGCCTTCATCTTGTAAGAGACCAACAAGCAAACACCTCTCCAGCTAACCTTTACATCAGTAAAGTTCTGCAGGCCTTTATCTCACAGGGGGCCACAGGAAGAACTCGGGAGCCTTGATCACCGAGAGGCCTCCTTGTTTGCCTGAGGGTCAGAGTGGCCACAGAAGAGGCATGATGCCCAGCATCTCATCACTTGCCAAGTTTAATTTCTTACCAGGACTTAAATTTATTTTTAAGCTTTTATTTTTGTCGGGTGTGGGCGATCATGTGTGTGGGCCCCAGGAGTCAAACTCAGGTCCTCAGGCTAGGCAGCAGGCATCTTTACATTTGTGCTAAGCCATCTCATGGACCTGTATGTTTAAGTTAACGTCACCTCTCCTTGATGACTGTGCTTCATTTGCTTTGATTTGCTTCTGAAAAGCAATCTGGCTTTGACTTTATAATCCTCCTGTTTCAGCCTCCCACATAAATGCTGGGATTACAGGTCTGCCCTAGTGCATGATTAATGATTCATACCGAATGTCTGTGGAAGTGGTATAACAGTTTGGGCTGCTTGGAATCAGATTATGAAATTGATACCCTTGGTCCATTTTATTTTTGTTATCCACTACACACATGGCTAGTCTCTCCTACCGGACGTTTACAGAAGGTGCAGAGAACTTCAGTACATGATTTATTTCACATATGAATCAGTTCGGAGAGGAGGCTGTGACTATAATTACATTTAGTTCTCCAAGCTTCCCACGAAGCAAGTCATGTTAACTGTACTTACAGACAAGAAGAGTGACTACCATAGCAGATACCCAAGGGCACATACTGGAATGTGATAGGGAGTTGACTGAAAACCAAAGGTGTGAGACACTGACCTGCCCTTTCTCTTCGGCCTAGAGCAGCCTGCTGTGGGTTATTCTCAGTGGGTAAGCTGGTTGGCACAGACCGCTTACAAAATTACATGCAAAGCCAGGTGTATACCTTTGCATTCCAAGCTCTTTCAGGCTCTTTCTATTTACCTAAGAAAAGGTGGCATGCTATGAAGAACTTACTTCTGCCCTGTCAACTTCGAAGACACACAAGCATTGCCAACACCAGCTTTACACAAGCAGGGGTAGCCGCTTCCGGTGTTAACATTCCGCTCTTCATGCAGATGAGCTAAGACGTGGCAGAGCCACAGGGAGGAGGGACACTACAAATCTAATCCTTCTCTTCCTCTTCTGTGTGCCTTTGGGCAAGGGTAGACCCTGCCCTTCACTGGAGGGACTAGGTATTTACAACAGCCTCTTCCTAACCTTGCCAAGGCTTCCTCTTCTGGGCAATGTTTGGAAAGCTGCAATATCCCGAATGTCCACAGTGTGGCAGAGAATCTCCTATCCAAGTGGAAAGGGGACTAAGGAATTGCAAGGATCAGGCATCTCGTGGTTTCTTGGAAATTAAAAGGAATGGCAAGCCAGACTTTTTGCTTTGTTTTGTTTGTTGTTTGCTCATTTTTTTTTTCCTCCCACGGAAATAGCGTAAACAGATTGTTAAAAGTTGGGAACCTGACAGTCGTGTCAAATGCTTCATTAGCTCAGCAGCACTCTGCAAAACCAGCACCCATCTGGTAGGGAGTACCTACTCTCCAGCTCAGAAGAGTCTTGATGTTCCTTTTCTGAGAACAAAAGATATGCCAAGGACATCTCACACAGGCCGCCAGGGAAAGGCAAAGTGCTTCCCTTGTGGTTGAGGTACTATCAGGGCTGGTAGCTAATCCCTGCTTCTGCCAAGGCCGAGCCCTCTTTACTCCGCCATGCGTTTGGCAACTCCAGGAAACCACTGGCAGGGAAAACAATCCAGGGCTTCATGTTTCCCACACCGTTCTACGCTATTCAGCCAAAGACCTAAAAAGTTTATGACTTTTTGCAGTGCTGGAGGTCAAACCCAGGGCCTGTGTGTGCTCGAAGAACACAACCACAGTTCTACACCTCCAGTCCTTCAGCCCAAGGCTCTTAACACCTAAAATATTGTCTCCACATGACATGACGCCACTCCTTCCTCCTTAGGTATGTGGCTTATCATCTTGGCATGAGAAGTGTCTATAGACTGTGTTCCAGTAACCAAGACAGGACTCAACCTGAGTGGCCGAGGTGCTGGGGATACACATGTGGACATGGTAAACCCTGCATTTCCCAGTACCTTGTTAGTGTCCAAAGGGACTTCAGCAGGGTACTTTCCTCAATCAAGGAATGGATGATTCAAACTGGAGTCTGGACAACTATCAGATGTAGTTGGAGAATGTAAAAACATATTTAAAAATAATATTGTACTTCAAGCTTAAGATTAATGGTTAAGTTTACAGAATACACTGAGTTCTTTTTATTTGTTATACAAATAAAAGCAGTGTTGTAGAATATTTGGAAAAAGAAGAAGAATATTTGGAAAAAGAAGAACAAAATTATTGATTCTTCATTTTTAAACTTCTGAAAATTTAAAGAAAATATATTTATGAGTAGCAATGGGGGGGGGGGGAATTGGTGTCAGCGTACCCATTAGGAAGAAATTTTTTTTTTTCTTAGTAAAATTCAGTGTTCTCCAGAGAAACAGGACCATGTCCACATATATAAAGAGTGTAGGGGACATAGTCTCAGAATATAAAACTGGGGTATTTCTCTTAGACTTATATTTCTAAGCCCACTTCTGCTTATATTTTACCTTGATCCATCCCTATGACAATTTTTTGGGGAAGCGCTACACCACTGCCATCATTTTTTGTTAAGGAAAGCTTGGGCTCAATAATATGAAGAAAACTATCAGACAGTAATGACTGAACCAGGGAGCAAACTGAACCTGTAAGAGGATCGAGCCCTCTCCACAATCCCAATCCACATTCTAGTGAAAGGAAAAATGAAATCCCGCATGCCAGTCCACCAAACAGCAAAGTTAAGCAGGCCCGAGCCTCCATCCTGTGAAGTACTCAGTGCTCTGGGCCTGGGAGTTCGCAGGAGCTGACCAACTACGCTTGGATAACAGAGCTACCTGCCGTTTATTCACAGTCATTCTTTTCAGAGCTTGGCTTTCAAGAGACTCATCTTGAAAAGCAGTCTCACATAGGATGAGACCACTGACCACTGCTGTGTGCTTGCAAAATGATGTGGCTTTGCTCAAAAGGAAGTGAGTGCTGAAGCTGGGCCAGGCAGAGGCTATCTAAAAGGGCAGGAGTGAGTGATCACTGGAATGAGGAAGGTCCCTGTGCTGACCTAAAAAACACCCAGGGAGATCACTGCTGAGGCCACTGGTCAGACTGCTGCCCTTTGGCTAATTCTCCAGTGCACATAGTAAACCCTGGATGTCAGCAGTTCTTATCAAGTGCCTGGAAACAGTTCCTTGGAGACTTGTTTCTCTGTCCTGTGCATGCGACAAATGTTAAGGCTGCTCTGGAAAGACAAGATTATCTAAAGCCCAGCTTTCCTTCTCTCTCTCTCTCTCTCTCTCTCTCTCTCTCTCTCTCTCTCTCTCTCTCTC